TCTAGTAAAGAGGAAAATTAATGATGTGGGAGCCAAAGGGGACCGTTGCTGGAAGAATCATCTTATTAGCACAGAGGGATGGACTCTGTGCCAAGGTGGGTGGCCGGCCTTGCACAGGAGCATGGACGGCCCAGCTGCAGGAAGCAGAGGGCAGGCGGGGGTGTGGCCGGGATAGTGGGAGCAGATGGCAGGTCTTGGCTGAGAGTTCTCTTTTTTCAGGGAAATGGGAAGTGGGCCACCAGATGAGATGGAGGATGGGGGGCTTGAGAGAGAGGGTGGGAGGGAGGGACAGCAAATGGACAGGGAAGTGTTTGTGGTTTCCCAGGCTCCCGAGGTCCGGAGCAGAGTGTAGATTTAAAGTGAGCCAGTCAGAGACATGGCATGTGTCCTCCAGCTCTGTGCAGACCCCCAGAGCTCGGGGGAGAAAGTGGAGGGTTGCAGCAGGGTAGGGAGTTGAGTGTGTGTGTAAGAGAGGGGTTGGTAAGAGGGACCTCTGCATGTGTGCTGGAGGAGGTAAGCGAGGCCAGGAGGGGAGTGAGGGATGTGAAGAGACGGACTAGTCCTGCAGGTTGCAGAATCCTGGGCGTCAGGGTGCTGCAGGGAGTGACAGGAGGTGACAGCTGGACCTGGGGTGGTTGGAGGGTACTCTTGGAGATGCTGCAGTTTCTGGTAGCAACGTGGTCTGTGATAGACCATGGGAGTGAGAAGGCCATGACCTTCAGGAGAAGAGGTCAAATAGTTGAGAGGGCAGGGGCAGGAAGGACAGTGACAGTGGTGGTGCTAAACCCACTGAGGGATGAGGGGGCAGTGACCATCACAAGGTGGGTGGTGGGCTGTGGTCTGAGGGCTGGTGGTGAGGATTAAGTGATATTATGTACCTACAGGGGCACACAGTAGGTACTTAGCGAATGGGAGCTGCTTTCATTAATCCAGTTACGATGACGTTCACATGTTCCTGGCCTGGTCACAGGACAGAACCTAAAACCAGGAATGTGCCAGAGCACGTGGGCGGATTCACACGCTCGTTTCTAGCAGGTGTGGTGCCGGCAGGGCCTGCGTAGTCTCTTTCTGGGACCCAGACACCCTGCTCTTGGGTGTGGTCCCACCAGGCCTCTCAAGAGCAGGAGGGAGCAAATGGGCGGACGGGAGTTTGGGCCGAGCCCAAGGACACGGGCCTGTCCTGTCCTGGGGTCACGAGCAGCCCCTGAATGTCACAGTGATGTCTGGTGCGTTCCCTGCACCAGCAGGCCCAGGTCCCTCACTCCTGACTGGGTGGTAGGAGCATGAAGGTGGTGAGTGGGGTGTGACCGTGGCTGTTGGGGTAGACACCCCAGAGGTGAAGGCTCCCAGGGCAGCCCCTAAATTTCAGGCCTGGGAACTTCCTGCTCAGTGGCTCTGAGCAGCTGGGGACACATGAGGGGAACAGGGCCCTCGACTCAGGTGCCACAGCCGTCTTCAGTGGATGTTTGCTGCCTGCCGTGTGCTAGCCATCCTGTTAGAAGCACCAAGTTCAGACCCTTATTTCCTGTGTGAGCTGCGGCCGGCACTGCCCCCCGAGCCTGTTCCTCAGCTGCTGGAAGGCATCACCTTCAGGCAGAGCACTCGGGAACGTGGATGACAGCTAAGCGCCTGGAAAGTTTATGTGTTAGGACGCCGTGGGCCCCGTTTCAACCCGGGGTTCAAGTCCCTTCTTAGGAAAGCTTTTGCTAGGAGCTATGGTTATGTTGAGTGTCGATCCTTCTGATGTGTGTTTTATGAGCAGTTCAGGCATTCATTCACACATACGTGCATCCATTCTCCCGGTCAGTGGGTCTTCGCTGCCGACTCCACGCTGGGCAGGGCCATTAGAATGGCCAGTGATGCTGGGCGGAGGAGGGAAGTGATGCAGCGGCTCCAGCGGCTTCCCCTGGGCTCCCTGACACCTGGCCAGGCAGGGCTGACCAGGGTGATGGTCCTGCTGAGCGAGGCCAGTGCGATTTGCACCTGAGTAGGCAGGGCGCTGCACACAGCAGGTGCTCAGTGACAGGACGCAGGGGGACTGCCTGGGAAATCCCTGGAAGCCTCTTACCTGGCCAGTGTCCAGCTCCGCCCCCACCTCAGCTTCCTTCAGTCCTTAGACTATTGCTTCTGTGAAGCAGCCAAGTTCACAGTTAGCCCAGGGAGTTTAACCATGTCCGCCTCATGCCCATCCCAGAAGTTGTGTAGCCTCTCCGGGCTATGGCTGACGGGCTGGTCCTAGAGCTGGAGACAGAGGCAGTGTCTTCATCGCACACACAGCCCCACAGGGCGGCACCTTAGTCCGGGCCCAGTGGCTAAGTGGGGGCGGGTGCCCCTCAGGGTGGGCTGTGCGGGGAGTCCTGTCGGCCGAGGGAGAGCACACAGTCCCCTTGCCGAGGGTCCCATTGGCTGTGCTCCAGAGGAGCAAGGTAATAAGGAGCAACTTCCACTTACCGTCGGTATAAATCCCACAATCAGGAAAATTGCTTCAATTGCTAAAAACGCTGGTGGAAAAGTCCATTTATTTTTCATTTTTCTTGTGCACTTGCCACCCTCACGCATGAATCACTGTCGGTTTGTAGATTAAATTTATACCCCGTTATCTTTCACGTCGCTGGGGCGCTGGTGTCAACTGGGTTTCTGGTTACCGAAAGCCACTGTCTGCCTTGTGGTGGGGAGAGTGGCCCGCTCTGTCCGTGGGTGGCCACTGGGGGCGGGGCGGTCTCCTCTCTCCTGGAGTCTCCCCACAGGCCCCCTTCAGCCCCTGCCCCTCCATCTTTTGGCCGCAGGGAAGACTTGCTTTTGGAAACTCCGGTTCTCCTCAGGAGCTGCCCTGCCGCGGCGCCCGCACCTGGATTTGGGTGCTTTACTTAGGGTTTTGCAGTGAGCATGGTGCAAGGGCTCCTGTTATTTTGAACACCTGCTTTGAGAATTGGCCTGGACTGGATACAAACACAATAGGCATTTTGAAAACGTGCTCTGAGAACACATACTAGACGGACTTCCTTCCTCTCTGTTCTCCCAATCTCTCTCTCTCTCTCTCTCTCTCTCTCTCTCTCTCTCTCTCTCTCTCTCTCTCACACACACACACACACACACACACACAGTCACAGGATAGAGCCGGTGCCTGCCTGCTTCCCTTTTGAATGCAGGCAATGTGGTTAGATGGCAGGTGTTGAGAAGCCTGGTTCTCACCTGTGTCCTGGAAGGTATAGAACTGTCTAGAACTGATAGTATACTTTGTTCTCCATGCTCACATTTAGCCATTTCTGTGCATATCCTCTGAAAACATGCTTGTTTATTCTCAGATTTATGATTCAACAAACGCTAACTCTATTTTTCGGGATTGGACCCCTTTGAGAACCTGTTGGAAGCCCAAGTCCCCCTCTGGACGCAGCTTTGAAAAACTTGGGGATGGTTTGAAGAGCCCCATCCTGCCCGCTGTAGAGGCCTGCTCCACGCACCCCCTTCCTGCCCCCAAGAAAACCCTGAGCCATCCCAGGAGCTCAGAGCTCTGCAGCCCTCCCGAGCCAACGCCTCAGCCCCCACACCCAGCACCCTTCTTAGGCCTCGTCTCAGAAGAGCAGCCCCTGGGCCACACTCCTGGCTCTCTCAGGGTTACCATCTAGACGTAGAGACCCCCCCCCAATTCTCTCTGTGACATGTCCTGGGAGGGGGACTTCTGAAGCCACTGGCTCGTCTGCTCCAGGCCCTCAGCCCCCAGCAGGTATCATTACTGCATAAGAGACCCATCATTCTGCATTAATCTGGGATTCATCATGATAGCCATGACCATAATTAATTTATTTGGTATTAATGTGGATGAAATATGTACTGTCCTTTCAGGGGAAATCAGGCTGCCTATAAGCATTAGTTAAAAGGACCATTAAAATCAAACCTTCCCCAGATCCATTAGGCGAAGTCTTTCATCCTGAAGAAGATAAAGTTGTGCTGTGTGAAATGTCATGAATAATTAGGTTGATTGCTGTTTTAAACTCTGCCCCTGCCTCCCCACCCCTCCCGCCTCCCTCCTGAAGCGGGGGAGGCTCACCTGCAGCGGAGTGGCCCCCTCCATCGCCCATGTCTGTACTGGCCCCCAAGTCCCTGCTGACCTCTATGGCTGCTCGTGTGGCCTGTGTGTCTGTGGCTAGAATGGGGAAAGGAGCTTAAAGGACCCCAATGGGCTGTTTGCGAGATGTGTACATCTCCCTTCCTAACTGGGCCCAGAGTGGCTGCAGGTGCCTTCCTCTTGCCTCAGTGCTGGTCTGGAGAGGGGTAGACCAGGGAGGGGTTGGAAGTGGCATTTTCCAGCCAGGTCTGCAGACTCCCTGCCCTGAATGGCACGGGGATATGAACATGCAGCTTCTGGGCCCACCCTGGACCACATCTCAGGGGCTGTGCATGGGAAGGGGATGGAGGCTGGCACAGGGGCGAGGAGGGTTGGTTGTACAGGATGGAGGGGCGAGGCGGGCCGTGCTCTGCTGCCCAAGTGCAGTGCCTGGCACTCCAGGGTGGACGTGCACATGCTCTCTCCCTGCCACACGGCTCCTCCTGTGGGAGCGTGGGAAGAGGAACTTTGCCGGCTGCCTGATGCTCACCAGTATGGGCACAGCAGTGGCCCCTGGGCTGGTCTTCTAGGCCTCACCACAGAGTTGGAGAAACCAGGAGGCGGAGGGTGAAACGGCCTGCCCGCAGGGGACATAGACACTCCTCTGTTGGGTGAATTGATGGGTGGACAGTTTGGAGCCCTGGGGTGTCATGTCAGCCTTTGAAAGGCACAGGAGAGACTAGTTCTGATCCAGCCCCTTTATTTTGTGGTTAAAGAGCTCAGACCCAAAGCAGTGAGGTCAGTTAGAGGCTGGGGGACCAGATGGTAAGCACTGGGTGGTCCAGGGGTTGATGCCCATGGACACCCGGAGTGGTGGGGTGGGAGAGGGGCTGATGGGAAATGGGAGGAAACCATTGGCCTCCTGTGCCCTAATCCTTTCATGCCATCCTGACAGGCGCTTCGGCACAAAATGCACGGCCTGCCAGCAGGGCATCCCCCCGACCCAGGTGGTCCGCAAGGCGCAGGACTTCGTCTACCACCTGCACTGCTTTGCCTGCATCATCTGTAACCGGCAGCTGGCCACGGGGGATGAGTTCTACCTCATGGAGGATGGGCGGCTGGTGTGCAAGGAAGACTACGAGACGGCCAAGCAGAATGGTAGGTGCACTGCCCTGCAGTCCCCCGCCAGGCATTTGTTCAGGCTGGGCCCTCTGAGTCCCTTAGAGCCCCGCTCACACCTGCCTCCTGAGACCCGCCCCACATCTCAACAGGGAGTTAATTCTTAACATCCCCAGTCCTTTAGCGCAGCGGTTCTTAACCTGTAGGTCGTGACCATTGGAAAACACATATAGCATATTAGATATTTACATTATGAATTACAGTTATGAAGTAGCAACGACAATAATTTTATGGTTGGGGGTCACCACAACATGAGGAACTGTATTAAAGGGTTGCGGCATTGGGAAGGTTGAGAACCACTGCTTTAGCGCTTGCTGGTTCATGGCAGCTTTAAGCAAGTATGGTTAGTGAGCGCACCGGTCGTCCACACTGGGCTCAGGAGCAGCCAGGGGCCGTGTGTCATTATCTGGGTGGCTCCTGCCTGGGGCGGGGCTGGGAGGGTGTTCCGCCTACAGTGGACACTTGGGCGTACTCCTTGGTCTTGTATATTGGGGGGCATACTTACCTCAGTACCTGTTGGCCTATCACTTTGGACTCCAGTCAGCTGTGCTCCATTTCCCCTCATGAGGTAAGGACTTAGGGGTGAGGACCCCTCATGTCTCCTGAAGCCCCGATGCAGGAGCCAAGTGCTTACTGAGCCAGTGTCCACACTCAGCCGCGGAACTCCCCCCCACCCCCACCTTCCCCAGTCTCCTCAGTCATTGTCCAGGATCTGCTGCAGAAGCCCAGGCTGACATTGATGTCAGGCCGAGCATTTCACACCTGGAAAACCTGCCTTCACGTGGGCAGCAGCTGCTCCTGCCCTCCAATGCCATGTTCTTGGGCAGCCCCGAGCCTTCCTAGGGCCTAGACTGGGCTTGGACCCCCATTGCTCCGAGCTCCCCTCAGAAAGGCCAAGCCCAACACTCCCCTCCTGCAGCCCTGCTTGGGCTCCTCACACACGGCTGTGTCCACAGGGCGTGTGCCCTCCACTGGCTCAAAATATGGCATTTGGCCAAACCCAACCTGGGCATCTCAGATGCACAAACTCACAAAACACCAAGTTTGTTTGCCTTTGACTAGAATTTCTATCAGCTCAGGGTATCACTGTGGAAAGCGGCTCTTGTTGACAGCTCTGGGCTTGACGGAGAAAAAAATAGGAACAACAGTGTCAGTATCTCCTTCTAGAGCTTTCCTGGGCCCCCCCACACGTCATAGAGATCTGATCACTACATGGGGAAATTAGTTTTCTGCTCTGTATATGCAGTTTGAAATGAAGCGTTCGCGGTGGTGAGGAGGCAGAGGTAATCTTGGGGCTAGCTGGCTGGAGCCGAGCCTGGCTTTGGTGGAAGGTGGGAAGGGGTGCTGAGTCAGGGGCCTCCTGTCTCTCTCCTCCCACCACCCCCAGCTCGGCCTTTTGGGGTGTACAGGCCTTTAGTCTCTTTCTCTTTCTGGGGCCTCTGTAAGCACATTCTAGGCTCTTTGCTTTAATGGATTTATCTGCTCTGGTTCCTTAAAACTCACTCGATGCTGTTGCTTTGAAGTCAATTATGATGTCACAGAAGATTAGGGCGTCTTGTCAGGGATAAACCATCAGAGCAGATGGACTGCAGGTCCCAAGCTGCCGTTGGAGCGCTGATGCCCTTCAGCAGATACCGAGACTTGCACGGCCTCCCCTGGGGCCAGCTTGTTGTCAGAGGCCTCGTTTGGGCCCTGAGCACACCTGGCCTGGCATCCTCCACTGCCGGTGGTACAGGGAAGGGCTAACACTAAGCAGACCCGTAGGACCATAGAGACATGCGATTTAGCCTCAGAACCTGGGGGCTTCACTGCTGGGTCACTCACAAGTCAGGGTCCCTTCTCAGCTCTCCAGGGGGGACAATAGCACCTGCCACATGGGGTTGTTTCCTGAGCTTAAATAGGAGAAAGCATGCAGAATGGGATGTTAAGTGAGGGTGAGACCAGCATGGAGGAGAAATGTGAACAGGGAGGTGCGATCCGCTTAGGTTCTCAAGGAGCTGAAGGTTACATAGTTCTGACGGGTTCCTCTGTCTCCACTGGCAGTGAAGCTGGGGCCACGCCACCCCATCCTGTGAATTCGGGGTGATGCTGAGGGCAGCAGGGGACCTTTGTCTTCTCTGGGACATTTGGCTCTTTTTATGTTTTAATTCCTCCTTGCTAAGCTACACCCTCTTTCAGGCTTACAGTTCCCTCCCTTGTGCTACACAAAGGATCTGATATCAGCTGTTTGTACTTTAGTGTGAATGATTTTGTTCATTTGTTTTACCACCCTGGATATCTGCATTTTCAATATGATGAGGTTGTGTTTTGTGCCAGGGACAAGTGCTAAGAAACCCTGAGTAATTCAAAACTAACCTATTTTAAGGCTAATTTTCCCATAGGAATTAATGTAAGAAGTAAGGGAGGGATGTATTCTGGGAGCACATAAATCCATAACCGGTGAGATGTATCTTTGCCTTAATGCTACTTTTTATTTTCTCAGCACTGTCTCTAATACCTTGCAGAATGCTCTCTCCTAAATTAACAGCCCAGGGTATCATGGTCTTGCTTGGCCTTCTTCATAGTCTTTTATCACATTTAACTTCCATAGCAAAGTTATTGATTTTTGGGTGCATTTTTCAGCATGAGCACGGCCACCACTACTTAATGAATACTTGGATGACATTATTATAGGATATAAAGAAGATTTTAAATTATAATAACAGTGAATGTTAAAATAACAGCATAATAGTCCCCATAATTGCAAGAAGAAGGTCCTGTGCAGGTGGACAGCAGTGCGGAAGCCATGCCCACCAGCCAGGATGACGGCATATCCCAGGGGCACTGCCATCTGGTTGTGGTGAGAGCAATTTCTGATTCACTAGGGCAGCCTACTTTGACAGTAAGCAATTCTCAATGAATTAAAATTTTTTGGTGGTTTCACTATTTCAGATTTTATATATAAAGACTGTATAGGTATTTTAAAAGTGCACTATTTGATATCTGCTATCATGCTAGCATCTCTATAAATATGGGCAGAAGACAGAGGATTCCCTAAAACAGAATTAAGTAGAATTTTGAAGGTTTTCCTGTGTTTGCCACAGTGGCTCTGGAATCCTTCCACTCTGGGTTCAGGACTCCAGGGAGGGGACTGGGTGGTGGGCTCTGGCCCATAATTTATGAACATTTGTAGATGACTGGTGAATGCGTGGGCCACCCTTGCGAGGGTCTCTGGAGGGAGGGACAGGGGCATGTGGGACAGCCCTGAACCCAGACTTTAGCTCCTTCACCTTCACAGCATCGGTCATACTCACAAGGAAGTCCACCAGAGTGTTGGGCATGATAGGAGATGCGTGGAATGGAACACTTCAAGTCACTTTGGAAAGCCTGTGGTGCAGAAGTGGGCCATGCCACTCTGCCTCCCCACTGTTCTGCCCATAGCAGGCAGGATCACATGTGAGGAGAGGAGGTGGACGAGACCCAGGAGCTTCAGGTGGGCTGAACTCAACCAGTAAGGTTTTTATTGCAGATGACTCAGAGGCAGGAGCTAAGCGGCCCCGGACCACCATCACAGCCAAGCAGCTGGAGACCTTGAAGAATGCCTACAAGAACTCCCCCAAGCCTGCCCGGCACGTGAGGGAGCAGCTGTCCTCAGAGACGGGCCTGGACATGAGGGTCGTACAGGTGAGACACCAGCTACCTGGCCCAGTACTCATTTGCCGCCTTGGGATCCGGGGTCCAGTGAGACTCCTGGGAGGCCCAGGGCCAGTCTGTGCCCTCTACATGGGAAGGCATGGGAGTGGTATACATACTGTGTCACTGATCCTTTTGGGGACTTGGGGCTCAGGGCCATGATCCTGGGGAATTTGCCCAATTGGAGATATCTGAGGCTCAGGCAGAGGGAGCCATGGGCACAGTGTACTCCTGGCCTTGAACTCCAGTCCCTGTCTCCAGCCACCTGGGGGCTGTGGGGTTGGGGTGGGCATCCTCCGAATGTGTGCTTTGTGCTTGTGTGGCAGGTTTGGTTTCAGAACAGAAGGGCCAAGGAGAAGCGCCTGAAGAAGGACGCAGGACGGCACCGCTGGGGACAGTTCTATAAGAGTGTCAAGAGGAGCCGGGGCGGCAGCAAGCAGGAGAAGGAGAGCTCTGCAGAGGACTGTGGGGTTAGTGACAGTGAGCTGAGCTTCCGAGGTGAGCAGGGCTGGAGGGGCGAGGCGCAGTGATCCTTGACATTCAGGAGGGATTTTCTTGAGGCCTGGACAACTCTCTCCTGGACACAGGCTCCCCGCTGCCCCTGGCAGTGATGGGTGGGGGAACATGGAGTGGCCCTGTAAGAGAACGAGAGAGCTCTGCTGCTGAGATGTGCAAGCTGGTTCCCCAGCACCGTGAGCCCCAGGCCTCCCCTCCTGCCGACTGGGGCTCCCTCACCACCTGTGAACAGAGCCGGGTCTCAGTCTGTGCCCTCAGCCCCTCTGCAGGGGCCCTGTGCCCTGGGAAATCACTACTGTGAGTGCATGTGAGATGGGGGAGCAGCCTCACTTCTGAATCCCTTCCCCTCTGCGCACTTTATCCTGCCCCCACCCACGCACAAATGCTTTGGAGCATGCGCTAAGTTCAAATTGGTGCATCAGCAACATTGCAAATGACTGTGTTTTGAGTCCTTATGTTGTTTGCAAATAGCCGTAACTATTCTCCTAGCCTGAGTCCTCAGAGCTGGGGTCAGAAATTGGGTTTCCAGTTGTGGCTCTGTCACATGGATCACTTCTTGAGCCTCAGTTTCCCCAGCTATAAGTAGGGAATAACCACATCCTTGCCCATCTCACAGTGGTGTTGTGGGGAGTCAATGAACACAAATGACTCTGGATGTCTTTGGGAAAGCCCAGCAGATGTTTAGCCTTGGAAGGGACGATTGTCCCCACGGGAGCCTGTGGCTCCCTCAGAGGGCCCTGGTTCTCTGGGATGACAGGTATATACAAAAGGCCAAATACTGGCCATTTTACGGTGAAGCTGAGCCTTCACCTTCCTGCCCCTTTAAAGAGCCTGGATAGGAACTGATGCACAGGTCCAGGTGGGGAATAGAAAAGTCTATGGGGCAGAGGACAGAACAAGCTGCTCACCTGAGGGGATGGTAGCTCAGCCTAGAGGTCTGTCCTGGGGCCCCGGGATGGCTCAAGGGCCTCATGCTCACCTCCTAGCCCTCTTGGCAGGGTTAGGAAAGCCACTTCATCTCATTTGAGCTGCTGGAATCCATGTTAGGAACATACAGGATTGCCAGGTCTCATTTTGTAGCTCCTTTCTTTTGGGTGCAGGTGTGCTCCCAGGGTGACATATCATTGCTCTCTCCGGGTAATTATGTATTTCTTAAGATTAAAACGGCCACCTCTGTTGGAGAGGTAACTTCTTCCAGGTGGCAAAGATCCTGTTAGATCCCCTTAGTGAAATTCTCTAAGAAACAAGGTCCATTTGTCTTAATCAAGTCAACACTGTCCCCAGTGAAGACTGTATTAGACAAACCAAGTCATTTGCTATTGAATCTCTCCCAAGTAGACCAGAAGAACAGTGTACACATGTCTAAGAGTGGTCCTCAGCTATCCTACCATATGGGCCTGCTTGTTTCCCAACCAGCCAACCTAAGCACATTACTTTGCCTAAAAGCTTTCAGATTAAATCTTGTCAGCACGGAGTTTCCACCGTGATGTGAGGCATTCATAGTCCTCAGTGTAGCCAGAGTATCTTAGTTCATGAGTGACATGGGACCAACACACTCACCAAACACTGTCCAGACTTTTGGGTCTTAGGAATTTAGTCTCTGCAGGTGTTTCTTCTATTTGCCCCCCTTGATGTGGGTCAGTCTCGGGCTGACGTGGTGGTGGTTGATTCCTATTTAGCAGCTGTCATCCTCGAGCTTCTTTCCTGGTCATGTGTATTCCTACCTAGGTTGTAAAGAACAGGAACATTGGAATCCTGTTGGCTGACAATAAATCTCCGTTCTTTTGTCCACAGAGGATCAAATTCTCTCAGAACTTGGCCACACCAATAGGATTTATGGCAACGTGGGGGACGTTACAGGCGGACAGTTAATGAATGGGAGCTTCTCCATGGACGGGACAGGACAATCCTATCAGGACTTGAGGGATGGGAGCCCCTATGGAATCCCCCAGTCTCCATCCTCCATATCGTCCCTGCCGTCCCACGCTCCTCTGCTCAATGGGCTGGATTACACAGTGGACAGTAACTTGGGCATCATTGCGCATGCAGGCCAGGGAGTGAGCCAGACGCTGAGAGCCATGGCTGGGGGACCCACCTCTGACATCTCCACAGGAAGCAGTGTAGGCTATCCCGACTTTCCAACTAGCCCAGCCTCTTGGCTCGATGAAATGGATCATCCTCCGTTTTAAACATCTGTCCTCCCCACCCTACCTGTCCTTCTGGCTTGAGAGAATATCTTCAAGGATCAAGAGAGACTTACCTTTTTAGGATCAAATGCGCACCAATGTGAATTTCCATTATTTTCAATGGAAGTCCTCTGCTGATCCCTAGGAGGTCACCGCACTAGTGTGCTGTTCTCCTGGGGAAATGGTGGGGGAGCAGCCTCCTCTCAGAACAGCACAGGGCGCAGAGCCTAGAGCGCTAGGGTGCTGGCTTATGCTCCCTCCCCCACCCTGCTTACAGGCTTTGGCTGCTCAGTGCTTGGCAGCAGGAGGTGACTGTGAGGCCACCCTGGCCTTAGGGAACTTTGATGGCCACAGTTTGATATAGAGACATGCCCCTCCTTTCTCTTCTGCTGTGAAGAATGACCTCTTCCCCCTCCAGAGAATATCTGTCAGTATGGGTTTGTGAGCAGTCCCATCAACATCACTGAATCCATCCATGATGGCAAGAAGTGGTTTTCGTTGCAGGTGACTCTGAGGCTGGAGCTGAGTGGCCCTGGACCATCACAGCGACTGCCCGACGAGTCCCCTTGGAGCACAATGTGCCTTTTTAATTTGCTCATATCACTTACTCCACTAGACAGGCTGTGGCTTACACAACGATCAAAGCTAAAATATGGAGAGACCAGAAAGACAATCAGTGAAAACATTTGTAGACCCATTTGGATTCCAAGCGTGCTGTCCGTTTAGCCAAATCAGCAGATGCCAGTCTCCCAGAGTCCCCGCTCCTGAAGGGGAAGTGATATTGTGAGTTTGTTTTGAGGTAGTTGGTTTAGATGAGTTTGCAAGTCCATACCCACCTGCAGCCAACCCTCCCTAGCCCTTTAAAAAGGAGAGCTTTCTCTGCTGTGCTAGCTGACTCAGTTGGAGGACAGTCTTGGCCTCTTCCAAGTACTAGCAATGCTTTTTGGCTGGGAGCAATCATTTAGGGAGCAGCCCTAAAGTTGTCAGAGTTCCAAGTGGTCCTTGGGCTGCATCTTCCTGTGGTGCTCCAGCCCTGCACTTGCTCAGAAAGGGGAGCTCTCCAGCCAGTGGCAGTGCAGACTCACCTTATGGGTTTCAATAGCATATCACCAAGCCTGAGGCAAGGGCAAGGCCAACCCCTGCTTTGTGAGCTGCCAGCCCTGTGACAGACTGCACTTCGGGGGGACATACCATGGTGATGGTGCCGTGGCTCCTACTTAATGCACCACCCCTCAACCTTGCAGGAGGTTCTCCATGTGCACACTGGAAATTAGCCAGGGGGATTTATGCGTCCCCTGGGAAATGGTGGTTTACTTCTCTGGCCTCCTGTTTTCTTAAGATCAGCAGAGTAGGGAAGGGTAAGAAAGGCATTACCTTTTTCACGTGAAGTGATGGGGCCCAAGACCCTAACCACCCTTTCTTTCATGTCTGTCACGTTTTGAAGGCCACAAAGATTTAAGAGTGTGCTAGGTAGACTCAAGGAAGAAATAAACCTTCCTCCTTGGCTCCTGCATCTTCTGCAAATGCCTTCTGAGGACTAAACTATGAACAGTTAAGCTCCTTCAAACTGTATAGTCAGTAAATTCCTGGGGTCAGCCTTCAGGCCTCCTTTCCCTGACCAGTTCTGTAGTGGACCCTTATTTTCCGACAGGCTGCAATTGTGATTTTTGCTTGGGGAGTCCTGCAGATGCAGGATTTCTTCTTGAGGCTCCAGGATTAGGGATGCCAGAGGGTGAAGCCCAGACAATTCCCAATACAGTGAACAGTGGGGATGGCAATAAAAACTCACAAGAAAGGCACATGCTGCAGTCTTCTGGGAGGACAGGTTCTTGAACATACTGTTCTCAGCAGGCAGCTCTCAGTGCACAGGAGGACTGTGTTGGGCAATGAACCAGTTAAAGACTGTCCCACCCAGACCACTGTCGCAGCTCGGTTACTTGGCGTAGGAGCTCTTGGGATCTCAAGGTACTGCCTGCTTTTGGTGATTACCAGGGGCAGCAGACTTAAGGAACATGGCCCTCTGGGTAGCACTGTTTCTTTAAGATCAGTTGAGCAGTTTTTGTTTTGTATGCAAGTTAATCAAGCTCATGCCTTATTCAATGGTTGGAGAACGTGCTAGTAACAGTCTCCTGAGAACTCAGTGAGCGGGGCAGCTGGTGTTGGTGGGCTGCTTTGGTGTTGGTGGGGCTGGCTAGCTATACTGGCCACAAAGCTGGGAGAGCTGAGTTCCCCAGAGCCTCCTCCCAGAGAGCAGCAAACACTGGAGCTCCGTGTAGAAGCACAGGCAGGCCAGGCCTCAGATTCTAAGTGGCTATCCTTGCAAGTGCAGTTAGCATTCTAGAGGACTGGTGCCACCAGTGAGCCACTGCGTGCCAAGACTGTTCCTTGGCTCTTCTGTGGCTGGAGATGGTGAGCACACAACGTACCTTGAGAGCCTCCTCCATTGCTCAGCGGTCTGTGACTGAGGTATAAGGTGCCTCCTGGGAGCTGCTTTCTCCCTTGCTAAAGTGACACGGACACATTTGAAAAATGAAACAAGACCTTCTAGAGAATTTACATCATTTGAATCTGTCTGTGGCTCTAAGAGAGCAATTACAAGTAGCAACATTCATCTGAGCACCTGGCTGATAGACCTTGGGATATGAAGTTTCTGAATTCAAGAGCAAAATAATAATTAAAAACCCAGCAACACCTAAGCTTCCAGTAGTAGCTGGTATAAGCAAAAATGGGACACACGGGGCTATGGGAGAATCTCTATTTTTAAAGAGTAATAAAACCACAGAAGAAATCCCCAATGCAAAGCTAAGCCAGCCCGCCTGTTAAATCACATTATTTGGAAGACTGGTCCTGGCCCTTTCAGGGACTTGCTGTGCCACCTGAGGCAAACTCCTTTCTGTCTCTGTGCTTTCTTTTTCTCGCCTCAGCTAATAGTTAAGAATATAACAGAAAGTGCAAATCAACTACCATATTGATAATATTATTCCTGCAAATTAATACAGTGAAATGTCAGGGAAAGAGGACAAAATTAAGACATAAGAAAAGCATTTAGCCCTAGCCAGTTTGGCTCAGTGGATAGAGTGCTGACATGTGGACTGAAGGGTCCGGGTTTGATTCCGGTCAAGGGCACGTACCTTGGTTGCAGGCTTGGTCGCATGCAGGATGTCACTCTCTCACATTGATGTTTCTCTCTCTTTGTCTCTCCCCCTCCTTTCCACTGTCTAAAAATCAATGGAAAAAATATTCTTGGGTGAGGATTAACAACAAAAAACAACAACAAAAAGAAAAGCATTTAGCCGTGTTTTTAAGGTGTTTTTTTTTTTTTTTTTTTTTTTGCCAATGTAAAACACGAAATCTAAGACAATTGAGGGCCATTCAATCTTCATAATTAAGTTCACTTTGCAAGAAGTAATCTGTAGATATGAAAGATACGACCACCTCTTGAGGCTCAAGCTGGTTATTTTGAAACAACTGCCTCCTTGCTGGAGTGGGTTGAAGGCTTCAGCTGAGCAAAAGCTGTGTTATGGGTGACCGTGCGTTCAGCACCCACTCTCCCTCCCAACCTCTCCCACATGCCACTACTGACAACTTGGTTCTAACTGTGGAAATGATGACCATACCTCTTCAGCCAGCAGGGTCTGGAAGGACTGAGGAGGCTCATTTTTAAACATTGCACTTTAAAAATTGGAACCCGTGAGATGAAGAAAAATTCAATTAAGCGGAAATGAGTTCTGTTTTATTGCCTGCTGCTGAAGGGCTCTGGGCACGCTGAAAGCGAAATAAAAAGCACATCACTGGCTCTCTCTTTCTTGGATTGGTCAATTGGCCCTTTTTGCAGTAGTTGCTCCAACTGTCTCCCACAGTGACAGGAGCCAAAAAGAGAGAGCTCAGCAAAGTCATCCCACCCACACTCTGCTTGGTAGGCCCACGAAAGCACAGTTTCATGCTGCTAGCTCTGGGAGGAGACAGCTGCAGGTCTGGAGGTGTGCCAAGCGTTCCTTTGCTTAGGGAGGCAGAGCTCAGGTGGACAGAGAAGGACACCCCCACTCTCACTGTTGCCCACCTGGAGACAAAATCATTTGTACTCTCTCACTCGAGGACTGCGTGCAGCCAACTGGGCAGGTTCGGGGCTGCAGGATCCCAGATGCTGCTCTGAACTTGCATTCAGACCTCAAAGCACCTGCTCCCCTAAGCTCTGGATTGTTGCCCTCACCCTTCCCAGTGTACATTTTGTACAGTGAAAAGAAATGAAGTCTCATTTGCTGGAAAAAAAGGAAAAAAGAAAAAAAAGGACCCACCCATCCTTATTTATTGCCATGTGACTTTGGAACAGAAGCTGGTGCGTTTGTTTGTATATGCCTCCTGTGTGTTGGCATGAGATGTGTATGGTAAAACTATGTTAAATAAATATGGATGTTCTTTAGAAGCTGGTGTGTCTTGGTTTTCATTTAGTTTTCTCTCTTGACCTAAATCAAATGCAAAGCTGTGCTGACATGGGCCCCTTTTATCACCAGAAGAAAACCCAAAGTACAACTCCGAATGCCAGAACTACTTACATCCATAAATACCAGAACTGCTCAGTGAAGGGTTGATTAGAGTTCTCTGATTTCTCTTACAGCAATGTTCTAGGGCCCAATCCTCTGCTCCTAGACTTAGGGAATGGGCAGAGAAACCTGTTGACTACATATTTTTTAGTTAGTTTGTCCTTCACACTTCACACATTTTCTTCCTTGAGAAAGTATGTGCAAATGTCTACATTTGGGTGAGAGGTGGACAGAGGGTTAGAAACACCTCATCAGAGTCATCAGGGCTCTTAAACAAACTTTTCTAGGAAAATCTCCATTCAGACTTTTTCTCTGCAGGAGGCTTTATTAGTGTGCCGGACCTGAAGTATAGTGAGGATGGAAAGAGCAACAGAGATTCTTTAATTAAAAAAAAAGAAGAAAAAAAAAGAGTCATAGCCTTTCTTTAGAGCTGGGGTCCCAAGTAGGAAAAACTAGAGAATGCCTTTTCCATTAGTGATTAGTAGTTTTGTTTGGTTGAAGAGAAGATCCAAGCAGAGGTGTATTGTCCAATATGGTAGTTACTAATCACACACGGCTATTTACATTTAAAATGCTTAGTATAAAGTGAAACGAAGTTCATTTCAGTCCCTCACACTAGCCATATTTCCAGCGCTCAAGAGCTATGTGTGGCTATGGTATTTGGACACAAATATAAAACGTTTCTATCACTGCAGAAAGTTCTACTGGTTAGTGCTGATGGCATCTGGCTCAGCAGCAACAGAGAAAACTCATTCATCACCTCTTTAGTTACTAGTTAACCTAGAGCACTTGGGGACGTATTCTGAGACTCCTCAGACAGTGGTAGTGACAACTGTCACATCTTGTGTGGCTTGTTTAGGTACAAAGCATGAGGCTGGGCTCTGGGCCTCAGTTCTCAGTCTAAGGATGCCACCAGGTTGTTGGGACTCAGTTCCTAAGTTTTAGACTTACTTTGTGCCCCACAGTCAACCCAGTTAAACAGGAAAGGCAGTACCTTCTCAGGCAGGACCTTCACTGAGATTCTTGGAGGGCTTAAAGGTCTTTCGTGGAGACCCAAATCTCTGCTCTGGACCCTGGCCGAGTCATCTCCTGTGCTAAATACTTTACAAGGCTGAGAAAGGCAAAGGCCTTACTGGGTATGTGCCAAGGAAGGCTGAGGTTCAGAAGGACCTTACTGGGTGCAAGCGAGGGTGAAGACGAGAGCACCCAATGGGAGCGGGGAGTTTGGGTAGAGCAATAAGGAGGTGCTGCACATGAGGACTTTTGTTTCTTCCCTCGCTTGGGTGGTTGTTAGGGAAATTTGCCAAGTGGCAATGAAGGACTCTGTTGCTACTAAATTTGATTACTTACCTGGGTATTCCTGAGGAACTCATAACGGGGCTCGAGAGTTCTGCCAGTGTATGCAGTGGGCTATTGATTCTAACACTGTACACCATGTCTGTAGTCTATTCTCAAACCCTCGTCACAAGCTGTCTCTACTGAGTCTTTGTTTTCCAAACTCTGTCAGTTGCTTTGAGTGTATCAGGCTGACGATTCATTGGAATGTTTCCACTTGGTGTTCTAGTGCACCCTGATCCCACCACACTAATCTAGTAGCAACGTTTTGGAATTATCAAATAAGTTCTCAGCTCACAAAGGGAGGGAGGGTCAGGTTCTTCTTTCTGGTTCGGTCACTGGAGACCAGCTCCTGAGCACGATTCTCTGACAGAGCCTTTTCAGAAGGACAGCTGCTTAACACATTGCGGACCAGTAATTTTACTGCTAGCTTTACCCAGTGGCCAGATAAGTTTCTATTGAACGAGTACAAAAAACGTTTTACACAAATGTTAAAGGCACGCTTTAGAATTAAATACCCATTGCATTTTGAAGTTATTACATGTTCTTACAAGCTAATATCTTTTTAAAGTATGATACTTTGTAAAAACACTGTGTAATATGAAGCGAGAATTCTCGTGATCCATCCGCAATGTGTTAAAGAAGAATAAAGGAAAGAAATCACCGGCCAGAAAGAATGAAATAAAACTCAAACTCAGGAGAACTGAGGAAGGCACAACAGTCAGTGTTTGCACTGCTTGCCCTGCCTTCTTTCTCCTTGGGGCCAGGATTCCCCTCAGCCAAAGTCAGAAAAGGAGGAAAAAAAGATCAAAGGTAAGTCAGTATGTTGTAAATTTTAACCAATTGTCAAACTAGAAGTAAAAATCCTAAAAGGTGATCCTCAACGTTTCTGAATGTATTTCCTTAGATGTGCTATTTGAGACATAGTTTAAAAATTGTCCTTTACAGTCTGAACAGAAAATGGTTGCATCCCTTTGCCATACCTCTTTAGACGGATGCTATTTCAGTTTGGTCATTTGGAAATAAATCCGCGCCTTCCCTCTGGTCCTCTGCTGGATGTGCAGTGAGCAGCGAGCAGTGGCGCTCGGTTGGGTGCTGGTATGGGTCACGGCTGCCCCAGAGAAGTAAGCAATGGTTAGCCACTGCTGCTGAGGAAATACTGTGTTAGGAGGGAGAAAAAAACCCAACGTTTATAAAATGGGGCCAAACCACTAGAAAGAAGAAACTTATTACCATCTTTATAAAAGGAGTAATAAAAAGAATCCATCCAAACTATTAAACAGAGGTCTTCAAATCATCTGCACCTGCCCTGGGAGAGTACATCACCCCCTTTTGGAGGGAGTGGGCTACTGACTGTAACATTTCTTTTTTTTTTTTTTTAAATATATTTTATTGATTTTTTACAGAGAGGAAGGGAGAGAGATAGAGAGTTAGAAACATCAATGAGAGAGAAACATCGATCAGCTGCCTCCTGCACATCTCCCACTGGGGATATGCCCGCAACCCAGGTACATGCCCTTGACCAGAATCGAACCTGGGACCTTTCAGTCTGCAGGCCGACGCTCTATCCACTGAGCCAATCCGGTTTCGGCTGTAACACTTCTTTATAAATTTTTCTTTCCTTTTCTTCTCTCCTTTTTGTCCAATGTGACTTCAGGATTTTCCTTTAGAACCCTTTCCTTTGGCCTCTCCCCCATTAAACACAGACATTGAATGTAGGCATGTTATTAACTGGGATGTTATTCTGTAATTAAATGGACAAGTCACAGGCTGTCCCTGACAGTGCACTTGCTCCCCCAGAAGGGGCTCCTAGGGCAGAAATGCTGCCATGTGACTTACGCACACCTTGGGTTATTTAGTAACCACCGCATCGACCAGAACTTCCAGGAACGGCTATCGCTGAAGCTGGGGGAGAGGTTTTGTTCTGTTTTTTAAAGATTTATCTTCCTCTCACTTGCTTGCCAACCCTGGACCAGGATCTCCTGTTGCCTGGGAGGGGTTTGGGGATTTTGGAAAGGCTGGGAATTGCTTCCTGAAAGATAAAATACAGACCCCAAAGAGTAGTCTTGGCACACACACTTGGAGTTGGAAATAAAGCAGTTAAAAAAGAAAAAGAAAAAAAGGCCATTAAAATGGTAAATAGGTTTCAACAGATGGCTCCAGCACAGCAATGGAAAGTCCAGGCAAGGACTTTGGGGTTAAATCTCGTATTTTAGTCACCTGGGACTAGCTTATTACTCCAGAAAAACAAACATCTGTCAAGTTGCCAGCTCCCCTCCTCTAACGTGGA